ACTTGTGCCTGTCCCCACCACTTACTAGTGTGTGTCTTGAGGTCAGCCACTTACCCCTTCTCAATCTGTTTCCTCAGCTGCAAAATGAAGGAATCAAATACACATATTATTGTGTTCTGCCGATGATAAAATGAGAATATAGTGATAACATTTGTTGAATGTGTATTTGAGTAGTTGAGTATTTCACGTGTTCTCACTATTAATATATATTAACTTATAACCACCTGTAAAGTAGATCCCTTAATTCCCTTTTTTACAGATAAGGACACTGAGGTATGGAGTGGTTAAAGTAATTTTTTCAAGGTCACACAGCCAGAAAGTGGAGGAGCTGAGATGAGTTTGGCTTCATGCCTGTGCTCAAAACACTGCATACCAGGCCTTTTCATAGAGGGCATGTGGTAAATAATAGTGTTTGCTCCTCTGCTGAGCTTCCTCTGACAATTTCTGATCTGAAATCGGTATGGCATGGCAACAGCACCATGGTTCGCCTGATAGCCATTTACTAAATACTTATTGATAGATTAATTGATAAAACAGTGCTCAGGTTGTGTACAGTTTTGCCTAGTAATGGATTTGTATCATATTGTGTTTATTGACACTTGACCTGCAGAAAACCCTCAGTGACTCTACGTGGCCCCTTAGCATTCAAGGCTCTTCAGTGACCTGGAGTGATCTGCCCTTTCCAACCTCATTACACCTCTGCTATTTATACAAACCTTGCTGGGGTTTAAGCTCAGTTAAGGATGGGACTTATTTGGTCATCTTTTTCTTTGCATGTCTACTCCATGGGGGAACCTGAATAATATTGATGGAATGAATGACTGAATGTGTCTCAGCCATCATGAGCTGCCACATTGTTCCTATGTGCAAAAAAGCAGGTGCTAGCACTTCTTGGTTCTGATGGATCCCTTTGTCCAGCCCCAGCCTCCACGATCCCATGTCCTAGTCCTGACCCCAGCTAGCCTTTACCAGGTGTTAAACTTTCCAACAGTTTTACCGGCATCATCCTATCTTTTGTGAAAATGATCCTGCCAGGCTGCCACTAATTGGGCTTAGGTTTTTGTTGTGTTTCTTATAATGATGATGAGTTTTCATAGATTTGTCCACACTTGCATTTCACTCACCTCATTACTGGATTTTGCCAATTTGCACATTAATGAAAGTAAACCCTATTTAAAGGGCATGTTAATATATGAGTGGAAGTTTAAAAAATACTACTGACTAGTCTAACTTTACATTGTAGGTGAAGGGGGGCCTTTTTAATGCTTAAGATGTGTTTTTCCTGTTACATAAACATGTTTTTCTTCTAATGTATGAAAGAGAAAGGAGCTAAGATTTATTTAGCACCTATGAGGCCTAACACTGCAGTCATAACTTCTGTTTGTTATTGCACTTGATCTTCAAAACAATCCTGGAAAGGAATATAGCCTGATAAGAACCAGGCTTTGATGTCAGAAAGACCTAGGTGTGGCCCCCAACCCACCCACTGCATGATCTTGGGGAAGTCTCTTAATGATCTTGGCAGGTCAGGTCTAGTGACCCAGAAGAGGTCCTACAGGATGAGCCAAGAGGATCTCTGGCTGAGCTTAGGATGGAAATCAAATGCAAGCCAGCAGGAGGTGAAAGCAGAACTTGATGATGTAGAGAGAGCAGATACAGATGGAGGGTCCAGGAGACTCAGAAAGGAAAGGAGCATGAGTCTTGTCTTTGTTTCAGGTCTGGGGGTTTTGATTAAGGATAGGTGGTCCAGTGGTGTATGTACTCTCTCAAGAATCCAGGAACTGGTTAGACAAAGACAAAGACCCAGGTGTCATTCATGGGAACCAAGGGTCCTCGGTAAAAAGATGTCTAGTGCTGGTGGTCTGGAATATGCATATAGTTTAACACACCTAGTAAAAGCCAGTTGGTAAAAGCCAGGATGTCTCATCTGGTCCTTCCTTAGATGTTATCTCTTCTAGAGAAATCATTAACTCCTTGTCCCTTACAAGGAGGGCATGAGCTATATGCATTCTGAGGTGTGTGTAAAGCAGAGTAGGGGGTGCAGATGTTGGCAGAAATAGAAGCAGGAAAGGGAGAAGAAAGCAGATTTTTATGGAGTCCTTCAGTTTCCCTGTCTCAGGAATCTACCTAAACTTAAGTTTTCTTATCTATAAATAGATATAATGACATCCATTTGGTATTTGAGGTGATATTTTATTGCTTTCTTCCCTACACACAAACAATCGCCAAATGGGAACAAAAGTGTTGGTTTATTAATGGCTAGATAAGCAACCAAAGTTGCTTGGTTAAAACCGACCAAATGTAGGGCTTCTGCAGAGAGATGTACTGGCCCATGAGGCCAGGGCTCAGAAGGCTGAGTGAGGCTACTCATTTCCACTTTGCTGGAACTGGAGACAGTAGAGGACCTGGACCTTCTAATTGGTCACATAAATAAGTGGCTGGGCTCAAGAGCAAACATGGAGCTGAATCTCTCCCAAAGAGCCAGGCTCTTTCTAGGTCAGATTGCTGCCCGAGAGCAGATAGTTCAGTTGTGACCCCTGGGCATAATAACTGGCAGAGGAAGAGGGGCAGAAGGCATGCCAAGCCTGGGTAAAGACGTGAAGGCACAGTAACCCACCCAGCAGGGAATAGGGCAGAGGAAGCTGTTCTCTGTGGAACGGCTTTCAGGGAATGGGCACATATAGGAGCAAAAAGTAGCAAGGGCATCCTCAGGCCCAGCCTAACAATAACAGCAAAATCAGTGAGAACACAAACCAAACCCTTACTTCATAGGGCTTTAAATGGGATTAAGTAAATTATGTGTATAAAGTGCCCGGCATGAACACACTGGGCAAGCACCAATGACCACTATAACCTTTAAAGAGAAGCGGTTGTTCGTCAGGTAAGTAGTGTCATCAAGACCATTGCATAGATGGAATGGAATGCATAGAGGAATGGAAGGCTCAGAGACATGAATTCTGGTATGGTATAAAAACCAGTAACAACAACAAGAACATCACAAACAAGCAAAATATAATTTTACCTTGTTTTAGATTTGGGAACCCTTGGAAGCATTTTTTTTTTTTTTTTTTTTT